AAGAGATCAGCAAATAGAAAACTAGTAAAGAGCCACAGTAAGAACTAGAGTTATATGAATATCTACAAAGGTCTAAGCTAGATGAATTCATGAAATAAGCATAAACTGCTCTAGTAGATATACTTTGAAGTTAACTAGAGCTTTGTATACTCATAATATGTTGAGCAATAAGCATCTCAAGAAGATCTAAGCTAAAGTTAGTAAATAAATCTGTAATGAGCTAGCTGGCTTAAGCAGTTAGATGTTATAGTAATATTAGTTTGTAACAGTATAGATTAGTTGAACAGAGTGTTTAAATAGATAACTCACAGATGAGTTACAGGTATAGCAACATAGTATAAAACTAATCAGATAGTTTATTGCCTGTGCAGCAGACTACTTAAATTAGATAATGACTAAAGTTGTATATGTAGCTTATTGTATACTCTTTATGTAATTACAAATTATAGAAGAACTCTATGTAGAATCTTATATATCAAACTAATAAAATCTGCTCAGCAATGTAAACTACCTTTAAAATAAAAAAAAATAAAAAAAACAAATTATAAAAATAAATACTTATTGATAAATCTTTATCTGATTTATTTACATTATCTAGGTAGTGAGTACAGCAGAATAAAAACTTGAAAGTGAATATAGATTATAATCTTTATATAATACAACTAAGCCTTTTATAGTAAAAAACTTAAAATATTTATATACTTGTAGGCTTTTATATATATAGTACTAGCATATAATTATAATTGACAATTATTTGTTTTTAAATATAAAATAATTAATTAATCTAGAAGTAATTATCAAATTCTTTTGCTACAACCTTCTACTAAGGTTTTTGATAATTAGTAATTATCAATTAATTAACCCAGCAAAATAAAAAATAAAAAAATAACAAAATTCATAAAGTAGATATAATTTTATATCTAATTTACTATAAAGATATCAATAAAACAAACTTTTCATAATTAAAATCTACTTTTGAACCAAAAATTTTTTGAATTCACCTATGTTCATGTTCATATTTATATTTATTTTATATTTATATACATGCATCATATATAAAAATAGCAGGAATAGAAATTTCTTTTTATAGCATTAAGAGAAAAACATCTAAAGTAGAGTCAATTCATATTTAAAATTTTTTTGATTAACTTTAGAATTAGATCTTCTATATTAGAGTTATATTAGGTTTTAGGTAGTTATATATAAGTAAAATTGTCTTCCTAACATTTTTATTTAACCTATCTGAAGTAGATTTAGACTACTGTTCTTTGTATTTTTTAGGTTTTTTATTTTGGTTTCTTGTTTTGCTTTGCTGGTAATTATCAAAATTCTATAAGTTGATTGACTATTATTATATGAATTTAACTCCGCTTTAGACGATACCATTAAGAGAAAATTTTCTTCATCAATCTCTGCAAGGTAGCAATATAAAATACCTTTATATAGGGGTTGTCTAAAGCAGGGCAAATTCACAGCCAATCAAATTATAGAATTTTGATGATCATTAGTGAAGCAAAGCAAGAAACAAAAATGAAAAACCTAAAAAATACAAAGAACTACAGTTTAAATCTACCTCAGGTAGGTTAAGTAAAAATGTCAGTGAAGCAATTTTGCTTATATATAACTACCTAAAATTTAACTTAACTCTAATATAAGATGACTCTAACACTAAAGTTAATCGAAAAAATTATTAAAAAATATGAGTTGCTCCTACTTTAAACATCTCATTTATATAGGAGATGCTTAAAGCATGGTGCAGTTAGGGTTAGATTTTTGATACAGTTAGTATATTATTTATATATAGATATCAAGAATAGAACTTATGCAAATGTAGATCAATATGTAAATGCATCGCACTTTAAATGACTCCTTTATATAGAAAAAAATGTAAATTATAAATTTTAAACATTTGATTTCACAATTTTCAAGCAGTCTGCGTATATACGTAATATTAACTAATATATTTTAGCAAAAAAAAGTAACTGTAACTTAATATTATATCTAAAGTAACTATAACTGTAATTAATTAATAACAATAGTAACTATTTTTTCTTAATATTCAAACATCTATCATTTGAATAATGATTAATTTTTTGTATTTATTAAATAAAACAAAAAGATATTAGGTTCAACTGAATTTTATTGATTATCAAAAATCAGCAGATATGAATAATTCAGATGGAATATTCTGGCTTGGTTATTGTTATGAATATGGAATTAGAATTAAAAAAGATGAAAATCAAGCATTCATTTATTATAAAAAATCTGCTAATATGAATAATTCTAATGGAATGTATCAAGTTAGCTATTGTTATTATTCAGGAATTGGTGTTAAAATAGACAAGTATAAAGCATTTATATATTATTAGAAGTCAGCTAGGGCTGGTAATTCTAAAAGAATTTTTAAAACTGCTATTTGTTATAGATATAGAATTGGTGTAGAATATAATTAGAATAAATACTACGATTGGATTAATAAGTAGACTAGTTTTATATTTAAATTATTTTCTTAAATTAGAAACTTAAATACTCTCAAAACTGTTTAATCTTTTAGAAGTAAGTTTTATGATTAATTATCAAGTTACTTAAAATTTAGCAATTCATTAAATAATCTTTTTATTCTAGTTCATGAGTATAAAAATCATTTATTAATCTATGTATTTAAAATCTGCAATTCATGTTTATAAATATTTACCTATTAAATAATCTTTTTATTTGGGTTAATTTAGTCTGTGAGTATAAAGATTATTTATTAATCTATGTATTTAAAATCTGCAATTCATGTTTATAAATATTTACCCATTAAATAATCTTTTTATTTGGGTTAATTTAGTATGTGAGTATAAAGATTATTTATTAATCTATGTATTTAAAATCTGCAATTCATTTTATAAATATTTACCTATTAAATAATCTTTTTATTCTAGCGAGTGAGTATAAAGATTATTTATTAATCTATGTATTTAAAATCTGCAATTCATGTTTATAAATATTACCCATTAAATAATCTTTTTATTCTAGTGAGTGAGTATAAAGATTATTTATTAAACTATGTATTGCCACCGGAGAATTATGGCGAGTCAGTCACTTGACTCTCTAAAACTTTGCATAACCTACGAATGGCTTAGTTAAAAGAGAGCGTTTAGATTTGGGCGATGGGTTATATTCATAGGTGAGTACTCTATGGTTTCTTGGTGATTATGCTTTGGGATGTTACTTCAATAATACTAATCTTTTATTTAATTGAAGTGAATCATGTAGAGACTTTATTCTTTAGAGATTTGGACAACCTGGATATAACTGTACGTTGTATATCCTAAACTTATCAATTATAACCATAATTACCACAGTACGTCGGGCAATTGGACAAGTAATACAACCACAACTAATCACAATCCGTCAGGTTAGCTAAACAATATACCACAGTTAGTCTTGGTACGTTAAGACTTAACCAGAAAAATTCAAGGCTGAGTATCACATGGACAAGTTTAACGAGGATCTTACTGTTAGTTATGTTAAACAGTAGATCGGGGTTTGAGGATTAGTTTAGCGAAAGGGGGTATTCGGGATTTAATGTATTGGAATAATTACTCAATAAAGAACTCAATTTACTAAGCGAAACTTAGGAGAGTTGTTCCTCCTTACTGGGCCTACATGGCCTTTATTTATAATATAATTTTCGTATACAATTTATCTAACTTATTACATTTATACCATTTATCTAACAAATGTAATAAAAGTATTATATCTAATTTATCGCTTTTATTGCATTAATTATACTTATTCCATTTATTACATATATGTGATAAATTAGACAATAAATGCAATAAATGCAATAAATGCAACTTTTCCCGTGACTTCAGGTCACGTTGTACTGTTGTAGAAGGCTATCTGACTTTCTGACCTCTGGCCTACTATTTTTTTTTTAATTATTTAATTTCTTTTTTTGTTTTTATTATTTATATATATATCTGTTTTATTACCTTTTTCTCCTTTTATATCGTAAGTTTATCTTTTTTAAACAAGGATCCACCAAAATCTGTGTATAGAATTCCATAACGTAGCCTATAGGTAGATCATTTTCCAGATTTAGTAAAATTAATATGCTGAGATGGTGAATTTATCTAATTTATCAATTTAACTAGCATTAGGTAGATAGTAATTCAGTCTACTATTTGAGGAAAATCCGATTTAATTGATATCTTAGCGAAATCAATTAAATTCCAAATGTATTTACTAACAAAATGAAAAGTATAAATATGATACCTTTTTGTCTTCAATAAAAATAACTTTGGCAGAGTTCAAATAAGACTTGAATAAGTTGTGTTTGAAAACCAATACTTCAAAATTCGAGTAGAAGTTTGGTCTGATAAGTTCTCATTGTAAAGTTACCATTTTTGTCTACATAGAACTGTGATAATCAATTCCCGCATAAATCAAACAATAACTAATCACCCCATAAATAGTTTTATTAAGAAACTTAGATCCTATTGTTAAAACACCTCTTAATTATAAAAGAGGACCAGATCACGTGCTACGTGATAAGAAATCATCTTTATAAAAAAAGCTCTAAGAACTAAAGAACCGAAATGTAAAACAACTATAATCAAAGAATAAGAACGAGACAACACTCACTTCTAAGAAATCCTCTCTGTGATCCTAAAACCTGGACCAAATTCTCTATGCCCTCTTTCAGCCTTCCAATTAGGATTGATTGTTGGATTTGTAGTGTTTGTTTGTTTGTTTGTTGAACTGCGAATATAGGTGTAAAGGGACTCACAGATATTATGTAATATCATATAGGTAGAGAGGGGGTCACGAATCTCTTATATAACACAAAGCTCTAAAAATAAAATTAAATATAACATAATAAAAACTATTTCCTATTGAATGATCATATAGACAAAAATTAGGTTTTGCAAAATTATTTCGCTTAAAATTTGATTTATTTATTCAATTTCTATTCCTAAATTTTATACAGGTTTTATCTATTTAAGATCTTATTTACCTTTAGGGTGGGCAAAACATTTGTGGTTTAAAAGAAAAGCATGTGTAGGAAAGTACTTTTTACATTTTTTGCATACAAGACGTGCGTATAGTTCTGCACTAATTGAAGGACAATGCTCATCATATTTCGCTAATTTTTCTGAATCTAAATATTGTACAGTATGAATTGGGTTCAAAAAGTGATTGTCTTTGCCTTGAATTACCGGTGGAAGGAAACCATTCGTAGGTTCAAGAAGGGTGGCAACCTCGGGAGCTCGTTTTGGAGAACAGCATTCAAGAACTTCACATTTTTGAATATCCAAAGAATACTTGCACATTTTTGCATGATTTTCAATCCAGGACCATGGAACTTGTTCAGTATCTTCAACATTTTCAACTTCTGGTTCCTCATATTCATCATTGGCTTTTTCGTTATTACAACCCAAATTTGTTTCAAACATAATATCTGAAAAAGGTATCGACTGCTCATCAACATATTCACAATAGACAGGTTTACCAAAAATTTTATCACGTTGCCAAATATTGCATAAAGCTTCACCAGCATGCCGAAAATTTCGTAGCCCAAGATCTTTGTTAATTATTTTACCTTGAGAATCAAGGTGGTTGCCAAATGTATCAATACTAAAAGAAATTCCACCTAATTTTTTAGATAAGCTTGCAATGGCTCTCTCAACGGGATTAAATACAGATTGTCCTGGTGTATTAGTACGTATGGTAAGATAATCAAGATCTAATTTTTTAAACAAATAACAATACTGATAGATATTTTTGATAAACTGAGGATTTTCATCTGGACCTCCATCTGTGAGTAATATCCAAACTGGTTTGACAATATTATTTATTTTGAAAACTTCTTCATACTCTTTCATTGATGAAAGATTAATCAAATCTTGCATATATGTCAAAGAACTTGATTCAATATACCACTGTGGTTGTACATAAATTGCGAGTTGCCTAGTTCTTATTGTGTCATTTGAATCTGCTGGATTAATTATCAAATAGACACTTGGAACTAATTTTTGAGATATTCTAATTGGAAAATCATGGTCTTCTAATTCTACGGGTTCAGCAATTGATTGGATTGTTTGAAATGTACGTCCTACAGTAGCTATACCAACATTAACCTTTGCCTTGTCATCTTGGGATACTAAAACTGATATATTAGGGAATGTACTTGTGAATGTCTTTGAAGCTTTTATTGAGGCTAAGCAATAATAAGTATCAACATGTTCTTTTTTTTTACTTCGTGAAACATTAGCTATTCCAATCAATGCAGGGTGGTGGTGAGCTCTAGCTGTGATCGCATTTCTGTTATTTGGCAAAAATAATTGCAAAGCGTGCTCATAGATAAGTATTTATTGTAATTATTTTCAAGCTCTTCTTGTAGATGTGCTACTGATCGAACTTTAATTATTTCTTTTCTTCTTTTGGCATCAGCTGCACCAAATTTAATAGAATTGTGCATATGTTCAAGAAGATCAGGGTGCTCAAAAAGAACTGACGGGCGGCCAGCATGATCATATATGACTACTTCATTTTTCTCTCTTACTCGTTTCTCTTTTCTCAATCTGCATTTTTGTTGATAGTCTGCATTTCACTTAAGTTGGTTTAATTTTTTTTTTTTTTTTCAAGATCCTTTTTTAGATTATTAATACGAACGTAAAGATCCTGATGAAGCTGAAAATCATTGATGGTATCATTTAGAGTAATAAGCTCTATTAGTTTTTTTTCAACTTTATTTATTTGATTAATTACTTCTTTCTGAGCAACGGCATTTGCACGAGAAAGTTCATTTAGTTCATTTAATTCTTGAAGTGGTAATTGGGGTGTTGTCTGAGATACTACTTGGGGTGTTATATTCACATATGAATTATTATTAATTGATTGTGTTGAATGTTGTATGTATAGAATAGGAAATCCTTGCAGAGGAACTGGTGTATTAAAAAATTTATCAATTATTCTTTGAATATTGGGGTCTTTTTTATATTTTTTCCATTCATTATTTGCATTACGAAACAATATTTCACGATTATAATTGGGATTTTTAGTAAGAACCACTTTTTTATATGCAAAAGCATTGCAAAAACAATGGTATTGTTACAAGTGGTATAGCCTTCTTAATACACCCCAAGTAACATAAGACACGGAAGGGGGACTCCCAATGGTATCAAAGTGGAATATTACATCACTGTGGCGGTTCGTTAGAGAAGTTTATTTTTAAAGCCAAAAGATCATATTTATTAAAGAACTAATAGAGAACTTAGAACTTTATTTAGTATTGTATAATTACAAGACTATTTTACTATTTATTAAATAGGAGATTGTAGAGGACTAATCTTAAGTTGGGGCAAAGGAAAAAGGAGAGGTTTATATAGCTTTTTACAATTAAGAATAAGAATAGTAGAAACGGTAAGAACGGTAAGAACGGTAAGAACGGTAAGAATGGTAAGAACAGTAAGAATAGTAAGAAGGTGTGTACCGGTTCTGGAACGGAACTCGACCAGTTGTTATGGTTAGGGGACTCACAGATATTATGTAATATAATTTTAATAATGAAGTAACCCCCCTCCTCCCTACATAAGATATTTAATTTTAACCAATCAAAATAAGGCTTACTAGATTGCTCATTCACCAATCGTACAATATGATTTCTGTCACATAACACAGTTGTAAATCAGTAATATAAAGCAGATCATCAATTAGAAAGTCAAATATTTGTAATCGAATGATGTAAAAGTGCTATTTGTTTTAGTTATATTTACATGTCGATTCATCAAATTTGGTAGTTCATTTGAATCACGATTAAGTTTCTGAATGAAACAATCATTGCTCCTTTTATATTGTATATATATATTATCCTACGTATAATCATATAATGCAGCAATAAAAAAAGTGTGCAAGCTGCCTATATTCAAAATTCTCACATGCTGTTTCCCATATATAAAGATATAAAAAATTTGCTATTTATTTTTATATTTTTTTTTACTGATGATTTTTACACATTACTGGTACTTAAACGATGCAATCCTATCTTACGACTCTAAAATTTAATAAAACCTTTTGCTATAAAGAACCAAACTCTACATACTGTTATAAAATAGGTTTTAGCATATTTCTTAAATATTATATTTTTATATATTATTATATATATTTAGATTTAGTTATTATCGTTTTTCTTAGTAACTTATTAGCTAAAGTTAGAATTAGATTTTACCATTAGACCTGGCTTGAAGAGATCTTTCAAATGAGCTATAATTTATAACTGTAGAACTCATAGTTTTAGAGTTGTCTTAGAAACAACTTAGAAACGGTTACCGTTCTTA